AAATTAACAATTGGTTCTATAAAAATTATTTCAGTATAAAAAATATGCTTAGATTTTTTTTGAAAATTTTGATTTACTTTAATTATTTAATTACCAACGTTTATCACAATAGTTGTTAGTATTACTAACTAAATTACTAGTTGGGGGCGTCCATAAATCACGTGATCGATTTATTAAGCATTTTTGGACTCCCCTCTCCTTTGGTGAAATTCAAAAACTTTTCCTCCCCCCACCAAACATTACATGCACTTTTGTAAAATTTTAGATTTTTTTGCAAAATGTTTTGATTTTTCTAAAAAAATCACGTGGTACCTTACCTCCGATACCCCTCCCTAACCTCACATGATATTTCGTGATTTTTTGTCAGACCCCCCTCCCCTAAAAATCTCATGTGATTAATGGACGCCCCCTAGGATGTGTTATTTCGATGTTGTAAGTTCAAATAATATATAATATTGGAAAAAACCTGTATTAACTTTCAAATGTTTTATATATCTATTATATAGATCAGTCTGCATCGAGCATTCGTGCGATACACATCGGTAAATAAATTTACATAATCTGATAAGAGCGAGTGAGTCAGTAAGTGAACAATGGAATCTGGCCAGTACGGTCAGGAAAGTGACGACGATGACAGTGGTCATCATGATTTTGAGGATTGTGAATTGAATCCAGTTGATAACAGAATTACGTCATAGAAGAGTTTGAATACGAAATGGATGACATTAGTGTTATGAAATAAATGATTTGGATAATAATATTAATGAAACAAAAGTTAGTGAAATTAATTTAGTAAAAATTGTGAATATAAAAAAGTAATACGAAAAGTATTAAAAAAGGAGTAATAGTTTAGAAAGAAAGAAGATTGTTAAGTAATAAAATATTTGATAAGATCGCGAAAAGTTAAGTGTGATAAGGAAAAGGTGACCTTGAGTACAAGTTAACAAAACCCCGTTTTAGAGAAAACTAATAATGATGGAATTATGAAAACGATGTAATATCGATTGGGCCAGTGAAGTAAATGAAGAAATGGATAGTAATTTAAATAAAAAAACCTATGAGAGGAGTTTTTGTCTATTATGATGAAAGGAACGAAGGTCATTTGTTATATATGCAGAATCAAAAGATAAAAATTTGGGTAGACTACATCCAATGGCGTTAGGAAGAATTTTACATACAAAAGTGTCAAGTGTTAGTAATAAGATAAGTAATGTTGCAGCTATAGGTATAAATAAAATAAAATATGTTTTAATGATTGGAAGAGTGCTAATACAGTGGTAAAACAGAAATACTGGACGAGTATAATATTAAAACTTATATTCCGAAGCATAAACTACGAGATAGGTATTATATTTAATGTAGACCCAGAGATTGAAGAAGATGAAATTCATGAGTTGCATTAAAAACGGATGTTGAAATTATTAAAGTGAAGTGTATTAAAAATAAAAGGCATATAATAGCAGCTATAAACACAAAGAGTGAAGATTTGGTTCAGGGGCAGTTATCTTCCAAAAATGTATTTATTCATTCAGTAGCTTGCGAGGTTCAACCTTTTATTGAAAATGTTATACAGTGCCACAAATGCTGGAGGTTCGGCCATATTCGTCTTCAGTGCCAGGGCAGGCAAAGATGTAGAAAATGTTCGGATGAACCATGATGTAAAAGAATGTGTGAGCCAAATAGAAAATATGTGCTTTATGCCGAAATAATCATCAAGCGAATGATAGAAATTGTCAAACGTATTTATATAATAAAAAATTAAAGAGTTGAAAGCATATCAGAATATTTCTATAAGTGAAGCTAAGCAAATATTGCGTAAGAGAACATATGCAGATATAGTACAGACCAAATTTTATAATACAGAGATTATCAAAATGTTATTTCCTTCATTAATTAAACAATCAGATAATCAATTAAAAAGATTTAATAATAACAAGTTTGAAATGTGTTCAATCATATTAAGAAAAAGAAGAGAAATTAATGAAGAAATATATTGAAAATTAGA